TCTGTGTGTGTCTGTGTGTGTCTGTGTGTGTGTGTGTCTCTGTGTGTGTGTGTGTCTCTGTGTCTGTGTGTCTCTCTCTGTGTGTGTGTGTGTGTCTGTGTGTGTGTGTGTGTGTGTGTGTGTGTGTGTGTGTGTGTGTGTGTGTGTGTGTGTGACTCTGGACCGGATTAAAGGATCAGAGTTGATAATGTCTCCTCCTCCTCCTCCTCCTCCTCTTCCTCTTCGCCTCTTTGTCCGTCTTCATTCTCATCGTTTCCTGAGGTTCTGGTTTTATCGTGTTAAACCCAAAACAGCACAGGATTCATCATTTTGTTTATCTGTAGTTGTTGTTTTGATTCTTTGGAACATTCCCTGGGGGGTGTGACGCTAACTGTAGGCACTGCTCTGTCTGAGGCTTTACTAGACTTTAATTTGAGCTTTATTAACGCTCGTATCGATCCAAGACTCCCGAAAACCTGCTCTTTAAATCCATTTTGTGTGCTTTTATTTTCTTGAGTTTTCAGACAATTTTGAGAACTTTTTTTTGACAGTGTTCCGCTTACGTGTTCATTGTGTCACCGCGGTAACTGCTGAACATTTCGCCGGCGTGACGTCATTGCAAAATATAAATTGTTAAGTGTTTTTTGTTTGTTTTTTTCATCGTGTGTGTATGAGGAAGTGCACTGTTGGCATGCTGGTTGTCGCTGTGCTTTACCGTGATGGCAAAACTTTGTGAAAAGCGCTTATATCAGTGACTAGAATGATCGGAATAAGGTTGACAAAAATATCAAAAATCAGAGCTGGGTTAGTGTTGAAACTACATACTGTATTTTTTGGACTAGAAGTGGCTCCGGAGTACAAGTTGCACCAGCCAAAAAATGCGTAATGAAGAAGAAAAAACATATATAAATTGCACTCTTTTGGGGGAAATTTATTTAATAAAATCAGAGACAAGGAACCGACAGTTTGTGTGTAAAGTCAAGTTGTAGTAAAAACAATAGAAAAGAGAACAACAGACTGTTAACGTCACATATGTGTCCAGTCAAGTGTTAACGGAGGGAAACAGGGTCAGATTTTTGACATTCAAATGTCTCTTATTCAGAAACTAGAGGAACTATTGAAATAAGTAAAGTATCAGAATGTAGGAAAGAGTTACACTCCAACAGGGTCAAGTTAAACCTGTGAGATTCTTTCAAGTTGTTGACAAAAAATTTAAAAACTCACATCGGTAACGGAGGGAATGAAATATGCAGCACTTTTTGGTCAATAAATCCAAACAGTGATAACTCTTGGTTCTCACTTACATATCCTTAACAAACTGGTTTGAATATTTGCTTCATATAGTTTTCTACCATATGGTACAAGATTAGGTTGAAAAACCTCTGACTTTTTGACTCATGAGATTTTTATTAAGAAAGTTCATGGTAACGGAGGGAAAAGTAACGGAGGGAAAATTGTACAAACAAGTAGAAGGTGCAGGATTTTACATCATTTGTCGCTTTTTTCTTCTGAATACTTTAATATTACTTCAAAATGAAAGGAAACAATTTCTATAAAATATGTCAGTCCTTCCAAGAACATTTTTATCATTTTAAATACATTTTTAAAAAAATAATAAAAATCCTGTCCCTTCATCAACAGTTCAAAGATGGAATAACACAAGATATGATGATGAAATACAAACATTTATTTACATGATTTTTGGGTCTTTGAAATTTGGGAAATAATTTTTGTTCCATGTTTCATACATGGTCTGTTTAAAACGTATGGAACTTTAGAACCAAAAATGGTCCAGAAAAAAGGTCAACAGTTTCATAAACTAGAGTACATATGTATCTGTTCAATACATTTTTATATCAGATGCATTAACTAGAATTTTTGACCTTGTTGTTTACTTCTGCTTGACCGGGCCCATATTTCACAGTTCTTCAGATAAACTATAACATAAACAACAGAACAGAACAAGTTTAACAAACTCTCCATCTCACTCCAAATCACTAAATCCATTCAATTCTTCATCCTCGGTGTCACTTCTGAGCAACTCGGCCTCGACCTCCAGAGGAGAATTATTAGATTTATTAATTATTAGAATTATTGGGTCTTTCTGAATCTCGACAGGATGGTTTCGGTGTCACTGAAGTCCAGGCTTTGTCCATCCATCCAGTGACTTCAGGAAAGTTTCATGGTGCATCCTCCCGGTGTCACAAGTTTCTCTCTCACTCCAAACTTTCGATTTCCGTTTTCAGCTGCAGATTTCACGACTCGCAGTTTGTAATCTGCAGAATCTGAATTTGTTTTTGGGTTCATTTGTGTTCAGTCTTCTCAGTCTTTGTCTTTATAAGTTTAAAGTTTAAATGTTAAATTGTTCAGTGGTGCAGAAGTAACGGTGCGATCGACTGACATGATACAGACAGGACAGAGGCTCTTTCTGCAGGAGACATGCGCAGTAGAGCCAAGTGACAGTGGTACAGGAGGAACAGGAGCAGCAGAGACTCACACACAAGACTAGAACCTCTCCACACTTCACCAAAAACATTTTAATATAGAAGTCGCACCGGAGAATAAGTCACAGGAAACACACAAACCAGGAACAAAAGTGACACTTATATCCTGAAAAATACGGTTCATACTCATTTAGAAAGTGTTTTTAGAGTCCTCGAACCTAAAAGTGCACTGTTAACATGCTAGTTGTTCGCTTTACCACGCCGACAAAACTCCGCTCCGGCCTCTGGAAGTCGTGAAAAAGCTCGTAAGCGAGGAACGACTTGGGACTTCGGTTTCAAACGTTGCGTTTTTTTGTTTGTTTTTTCTCATTAGTCGTGATTGTCTCCGCGGCTCCTCCCCCCCCTCGCCCCACGTCACCGGCCCGGGCTCGGAGCGCCGTCCCGGGGGGGTGGAATTACAGCTCGATTGTCTGGTCTCTGGAAGAAGGGCCGGATTTATTGGACATCTGATCGAGCGTTCTCCCCTTGCCCTGCACTCTCAGCAGAAACCTACATAATGCATGAGGCCAGGAGGGAGCTCGGGTTTCAGACTACATCCAGGACGCCACAGGACGGAGACGCTTCTAAACACAAACACACACACAAACACACACACGGGCGGAGGAACCTAAAGCCAGCCGTGCCAGGAAGCAGCCTCAGTGTACCAGCGGGTCACCACATCAACACACAGATGAATGATTAAAGACTAAAGTAGAGAAACGACTAGAATGTCTCCAGAGGTTGAGGCGGAGACTCTGCACCGACGGATACAACGAACCTGCTTCCTCCTGCCTTACAAATACGACGTGAGCGAAGTAGTAGTAATAATAATAAACAAACTTATAAAGACGATTGAGAAGACTGAACACAAATGAGCCCAAAAAACAAAATCAGATTCTGCAGATTTACAAACTGCGAGTCGTGAAAACGGAAATCGAGCAGCAGAAAAAAAAAAGTTTGGAGTGAGAGAGAAACTTGTGACACCGGGAGGATGAACCGTGAAACTTTCTGAATCCCGACAGGATGGTTTAGGACAGAGGAGAGAGGACAGAGGAGAGAGGACAGAGGAGAGAGAGAGAGAGGACGAGGAGAGAGGAGCGAGAGAGAGAGGAGAGAGAGCAGAGGAGAGAGACAGAGGAGAGAGGACGAGAGGACAGAGAGGAGAGAGGAGAGAGGACGACAGAGGACAGAGGGAGAGGACAGAGGAGCGAGGGCAGAGGACAGAGGAGAGAGAGCAGAGGATAGAGGACAGAGGGTAGAGAGAGAGGACAGAGGACAGAGGAGAGAGGAGTGAGGACAGAGGAGCGAGGAGAGAGGAAAAGGACAGAGGGAAGAGGACAGAGGAGAGAGGACAGGAGAGACAGGGGACAGAGGAGAGAAGACAGGGGATAGAGGACAGAGGAGCGAGGAGAGAGGACAGAGGAGAAGAGGACAGAGGAGAGAGGACAGAGGAGAGAGGACAGAGGAGAAAGGACAGAGGGTAGAGGACAGAGGAGAGAGGACAGAGGAGACAGGACAGAGGAGCGAGAGAGAGGAGAGAGGAGAGAGGTGATGCTCTGGCCTTTCCTTGTCCCGGGCAGCTGTGCCAGATGTCCCTCTGTCCCTCTGTCCCTCTGTCCTCTGTCCTCTGTCCCTCTGTCCCTCTGTCCCTCTGTCCCTCTGTCCTCTGTCCTCTGTCCCTCTGTCCTCTGTCCTCTGTCCCTCTGTCCCTCTGTCCCTCTGTCCTCTGTCCCTCTGTCCCTCTGTCCCTCTGTCCCTCTGTCCCTCTGTCCTCTGTCCCTCTGTCCCTCTGTCCCTCTGTCCTCTGTCCCTCTGTCCCTCTGTCCCTCTGTCCCTCTGTCCCTCTGTCCCTCTGTCCTCTGTCCCTCTGTCCCTCTGTCCCTCTGTCCTCTGTCCCTCTGTCCCTCTGTCCTCTGTCCTCTGTCCTCTGTCCTCTGTCCCTCTGTCCCTCTGTCCCTCTGTCCCTCTGTCCTCTGTCCCTCTGTCCCTCTGTCCTCTGTCCCTCTGTCTGTCCTCTGTCCCTCTGTCCTCTGTCCCTCTGTCCCTCTGTCCTCTGTCCCTCTGTCCTCTGTCCCTCTGTCCCTCTGTCCTCTGTCCTCTGTCCTCTGTCCCTCTGTCCTCTGTCCCTCTGTCCTCTGTCCCTCTGTCCCTCTGTCCCCTCTGTCCTCTGTCCCTCTGTCCTCTGTCCCTCTGTCCTCTGTCCTCTGTCCCTCTGTCCTCTGTCCTCTGTCCCTCTGTCCCTCTGTCCTCTGTCCTCTGTCCTCTGTCCCTCTGTCCTCTGTCCTCTGTCCTCTGTCCTCTGTCCCTCTGTCCCTCTGTCCCTCTGTCCTCTGTCCCTCTGTCCTCTGTCCTCTGTCCTCTGTCCTCTGTCCTTCTGTCCCTCTGTGGACGTGAAAAAAAAAGATATGAGGCCCTGTTTACATGTTCACAATATTTCTAAAAACAGAGACATTTCCCTTCGTTTGTTCTCATCTTTTACACGCAAACGGCAAATTCATCTCTGAAAACGAATAACCGTGTCTTCTTTGTGCTCCGCAGGTGACTTCATCGCCCACTCTTCTTCGGTCCCTGCGCGTTAGCCCGGCACCCGTCCCCCGGCAGGCGGCCCATGCACCCTCACGACACCATGGGTAGTTCCCCAGAGGTGCTGTCCTGGACCTCGTGCCCGAGCCTCCTCGTGGGCAAGCTCAAGGAGGAGCTCAAACTGTCCGTGGTGGGCGACGCCATGAAGAAGTCCTCCAACAACTCCCAGAACTCCCCGCAAGCCCCGCCCACCACGCAGACCCCGCCCCCTCAGATCATCACCGACCTGGCCCCGCCCACGCACCTGCCCGCGCCCCTGCTGACCCCCGTGGCCGACGAGGACATGCTGGGAGGCGTGAGCCCGCAGAACGTGGCGCTGAGCGTGGACTCGACCAGGAGCGAGGGCGGACACTTCGACAACAGCGTGCTGCAGCTGCGCGAGCACGAGGAGGGGTCGCCCGGGTCCTGCGAGCACGGAGGGGAGGGCGGGGGCGGGCTGAGCGGAGGGGAGGAGCAGACGGGGGAGGGGGAGTGTCCGCACCATCAGGGAGGAGGAGGAGGAGGAGGAGGAGGAGGGGAGGAGGAGGAGGAGAGGAGGCACCAGCACCCGCACCCCGACGATATCAAGCTGCACTTCCAGAGGGCGGGGCCGGGCCAGGGCGGCTTCCTCGAGGGGCTGTTCGGGTGTCTGCGCCCCGTCTGGAACATCATCGGGAAAACCTACTCCACCGAGTACAAGCTGCAGCAGCAAGGTGAGGAAACACCCGAGCAACACAGGATCAAGAGTTCTGTTTAAAAGTTTAGTTTTGTTCATTTTTAAACCCACGATACGACCTACGCTGCAAAAAAAGAAAGATGTAAACACTTAAATCTATCAGAAAATTATTTAAAAGTGGTGAAATGATCCGTCCATGCAGCAAGATCATTTTACTTTTTACTTTTTTACAAGTTGTCTTAAAATAAACGACCTCTAGACTAGAATGAAGCAGTCTGGGGTAAGTGTTCATGGGCTGGAAATAAGTTTAAGTTTGAGATAAACAAACTTAAAACCAGTTTATAATCAGTGTTCATGGTCTGATAATAAATTCACAGATTCCAAATTCTAGATAAAATGCTTTAAATTCTGCTAAATTTGAGATAAACAAACTTAAAACCAGTTTATGATCAGTATGAAGGGCCTGATAATAAATTTAAAGATGATAAATTCTAGATATAAGTCCTTGAAGTCGTACATGAGAGTAGGTCGTAGTCAGTCTTCGAATCTGTATCACTGAATCTAAAAACAAGTGAAGTGTTGCCGGGGAAAACTTTGGTAAATAGATTGTAGCTTCTTTGAAACATTTATTGCCTAAATTTAAGATTTTCAGACTAGTTGAGTTGTGCCGTCGTCCGTGTGGTGAAAGTGAGAATGTGCAGTGTTCCTTTTCCCCGCGCTGGTTCTGAGGTGGTGCAAAACCTCCAGACTGAAGAGTAAATCCAGTTTGGTTGGTTTTATGTCGTTCTGAGCATCCGTCCTTTGTGCTCTTGGTTCTTCCCGGGGAAAGTTCTTCTCAGGCCGAGGCTCCTGACATGACTCCCCGCTCCAGCTCCTCTGAGCCCGGACAGAACCGGAGCTGCTCCCGCTGGTTCAGGACTCTGGTTTGGATCTAGTCCGACTTGGCTAAAATCAGGACATTTTTGAAGTTGAATCAATTGAATAGACTATTACCTATTGCCATAAAATGATTTGGTTCATTATTTAACAAATGCTGGTTGCTACGTGAACACGGGGAACACCAGGACGTCTCTGTGCCTTTCAGGTCCTGAACAGACGTACGCAACCCCAATTTTGACTCATTCTGGAGCCACATGTTCACACGTTGGTTCTTGCTCTGATCTTCGTGTGTTTCATTCTCTGTATTGGCCATCGTTGGCAAAATATTTGATAATGACTCGCGGCTGCGTCTGAACAACAATCTGTTATTTCACGAGTTGTACAGCGCGTCATTTCAGGCAGAAGAGACGCGTTTCCTCCCATGATGCATCTAGAATAATTAGTTTGGACTTGAGTTCACGTTCACACCAGAGGAACCGCACGAGAGTTTGGCATTTGATGCAGATTCAAGCGAACCGAGACCACCTCTTTTTTGAGGTTGTGGTCCGCTTGATTTGATCCGGGTCTGAGTCCGATAGACACTTTCACACCAACGAAAACGAACCGAACTAAGAGCTTTTGGTTCGAATGCACCAGCTACTGTCAGTGTGAAAGCATTGAAACAGTTTTTGGTGTGGAAAACAGTCTTTAGTCTGTATTTGTCTTAGCCCTTGTCTCTGACGTTGTGCCGTGCGCTTGCAGACATGTGGGAGGTTCCGTTCGAGGAGATCTCGGAGCTGCAGTGGCTGGGCAGTGGGGCGCAGGGGGCGGTGTTCTTGGGGAAGTTCCGCTCGGAGGAAGTCGCCATCAAGAAAGTGAGAGAGCAGAAGGAGACGGACATCAAGCATCTGAGGAAACTCAAGCACCCCAACATCATCAGCT